CTGTAAGCGCTGGACTCAGCCCTGTCTCGACCCTGCCCTCTCCCCTCCGTTTGCCAGGGTGCCAGCCCCCGGAAAAAGGCAATAAAGACGAGTTTCTGTTCCTGTGGCTGATTCTTGCGTGTCTCGCCCGGCCTCCGGGGGTGTGGGGGGAGGGGGGCGTGAGAGCGCCCAGAGCGATGCTGGGCGAGCTGGCCCGGCTGGCCGCTGGAACCAACGCCCTCTGCCTTTTGAAATGGGAGCTTTAGGAGTGCAGCGACAAGGTAGATGGCTGCGCCCTTGGAGTGCAAGATGCAGAGCCGACCCTCCAGACCCTTCTGGTCCATCTATGCGCCGCCCCCCACCAAAATAAACCACCCGAACTCACTGCCATCAAGTCAAATCTGACCCACAGTGACACCCCCACCCCTGTGGGTTTCTGAGACTAACTGTTTACAGGCGTAGAAAGGCCAGTCTTTATCCCGCGCAGCTGCTGGTAGTTTTGAACTGCCAATCATGCAGCCTAACTCAAAACCACTGTTCCACCAGGGCTCAATCAACCCCACCCCACTTTTTTTTTTTTTGCTCCAAGGTCGGGAGGGCAAGGAAGGCTGCACAGAGGCAGAAGCCGGGCTGGAAAGGGTGGGCGTCCAGCCTGCAGAAGGGCCGGGACGTGGGGTTTGACATGAATACTATAGTCCCAAGCGGCTGCAGCCTGGGGTGTGGGATGCAGACCACCATACCATCGGTCTTACACTGTGTTCCCTAGATACCTGGGAGCCGTAGGAAGTTCATACCCAGAGGCAGGGCACTCTGTCCCTGCATCTCTAGCCTAAGACATCTAAAAGTGGAGCCCCGAAGGGCTCAAGACCATGCTCCTAGGGGGCACCAAGGTCAGGTGGTATTAACAGTCACAAAGACAAACTTTGGCATCTACTTTGGTGAGGAGCCACTGTGGTCTTAAAGCCTCAAGAAGTAGCCCTGTCAGGTGCAACCATTGGGCCCTTCCCACCCAGAACAAAACAGGTTGAAGAAAACCAAAGGCTCATGGAAACAATCAGTCCAAAGGGCCTGCGGACCAGGAACCCCCCTGCCTCCACGACCCTGGGACCAGGGGTCACAACACTACAGTGTGTGGGAGGAAAATGGGGGACACATTCAAAGTCATTCTAAAAAAAAGACGGGTGATCTGAGAGAAATAGGTAGAACCCTTGAGACTGTGGTCCTTAGACACCCTTCAGGTCTAAAATGGAACTCATGTCTCAATGTCCAGCCTATGCCAGACAGGCCTTTACGGTGACAGTCCACCTGGTTACTGTTCTGTAGGGAACCGGTGGCTCTCTATTTCTAAACCATGACCACTAGCCAGCCATAGGACAACCAGCCATAGGACAGAGATCCAAAGGGCAGCGTGGTCCAGGATGAAGGCAGAGAGGGATGGGAATGCAGGAGGGATGGAAAGGCGGACAGGAGGAAATGGAAAGAGGGCTGTTACATTGTGGGGCTTGCAATGAATGTCACCCATCAAATGTGTGTTAACTGTTGAATGGAAAACCAACTCGCTCTGTGAACTTTTACCTGAATCACAGTAAGACATTTCAATAAATCAAGTAAATGTAGAGACACAGAAAGAAGTGGCGCCTGTCAGCAAACGAACATCTCAAATGCTTCTCAGATCTTGGTACGAGGTTCAGAGCACTGATGGGCATCCTCCCAGGCCCATCTTTCCACTCCCTTTGGCTGTTTTGTCCTAGGAAGCAGCCCCCTTATGCCACCTCAGCCAGCCTGGCAACTTTCCGCTGAGAGTGAGGCAGCTCTGTCTTGTCTCACCTGGATTCTGCTTGCTGCTGCCTGGGTTCCCTCCTGGAGCAGAGAGAGATCAGTGTCCCTCTTAAACCTTTGGAGATTTGCCAACCCCGACGCTTCCCATCTCAAAACCATCTTTCTCAGCTCCAGGCTCTGCCATTTGAAAAAGCAGAGGGAAGGCGTATTTATTCAAGACAGAAGAGAGAGGGAGAGTGGGGAAACGTACACGCAAGACACTTAATTTGTATGGAAGACATGCATGGCGCTACAAACTTTTCACAACAACTGCATGAACCATAAAACAAACCAAACGTACTGCCATCGAGTCAGTGCCGGCTCAAAGGGACCCTACAGGGCAGGGCTTCCCAGATGGCAGCTCTAGAGGAGTAGTGAGCACTGTTTTTCTCCAGAGGAGCGGCTGGTGGTTTTGAATCGTGGGCTTGGCCGAAAGAAGTATTCGCTCCATTTTATAGATAGGGAAAGTGAGGATCGGCTCCGCTAAGCCACCCTATTTAGGCGTCAGTGACATAGCTGGCCCCTGGCCCCGACCTCACCGACTGGACTCCAAGGTTCTTCTTTTTCCGGTGCTGTGCTCAGAGGCAGAGTCGCTAGAAGGCCCTAGCCAAAGGGAAGCACAACTCCCCTCGCAAAAAACCAAATGCACCGCCATTGGGGTTCTGAAACTCTTCCTATGGGAGTAGAAAGCCTCCTCGTTCTTCCGCCGAGCAGCAGGTGGCTTCCATCTTTGGACCTTGCGGTGAGCGGCCCGGCGCGTCCTCGCGGCGCCACGAGGGCTCCTAAAGGAAGCACAAAGCGAGGAGTAAGTGGTTCGCTCTAGGAGTTGGGGTTCCCAGCGTTTCAATCCCCCAACAGCAAAAGCAGCTTCTTGCAGCCTCGCTAACTCAGACTGAAGTGCAGGGACAGGCAGGGCGCCAACCCCAGCAGGTGGCACTGCACTCCGGACGCCAGCGACTGCGTGGGCGGCGCCGGGGAAGCCCGGGGGGAGGAGCCACAGGCAGGTGTGGGCGGGGCAAAGCCAGGGAACCACCACCAACCCCCGCCACGCGTGGGGGCGTGGCCAATCGGGGAGGAGGGCGTGTCTGCCATACAAGCCCCGCCTCACCTCCTCGGGTCTGTCCCTCCCGGGGGGCGTGTCCCTAATCCTCTTCCCTGGAGACACGCGTGGGCCTCTCCCCTGTCGCAGGGGGGCCGCCCAAAGAAGTGCGGGGTGTCGCTGGCGGCCCCTCCCCGTGCTGGACCACGTGGCGGGTGCGGGCCGAGCCCGGGGGAAAGA